GGGTGGGCTCCGGTATGTGCGCGCGGCTGTGTCTTTGGCGGTTGTGGTCGCAGCCACTCACTGGCGCTCTGCTGCAGGCTTCTTGCCAGAGGCGCAGGCGGGAGGGCGGACGGGGTCGGTTCGGTGGATCAGCTCCTGGCAGCGGGAGCAGAAGGCGGACAGGGAGCCATGCGCCGAGTGGGGCCTGCGTGGTCTTGCTCTTTTTGTCGGCTACGGAGGAGGTGCTGACAGCGGCGACGGTGACAACAACCAAGGGACCAACAGCGGAGAAGATATGTGGTGCGGTGCGGCGCGGTGCGTTGCGATGCGATGCGGCGCGGATCGGTGCGGTGCGGTGCGGTGCGGTGCGGCGCGGCGCGGCAGGAGAAGAGGCAGAGGCAGGGAGGAGCGTTGGGGTAGGGCGGCAGGGAAGGTGTTGGCGTCGCAGAGTTGGGAGGGGAGGTAACGCCGGCCGCCCAGCCGCCAGGCGTAAGGCCATGCCTCCTCAACAGTTCACACCTGGGAGTGGTGACGCCGCGAAGGGCGGTAGATACGGCGGGGGGCTTCTCTGCCCCTTGCCTTGCCGCGCTCGGTCTCCAGCCCGGCTGCGGTGTTGATTCACAGGGGGGCAGAGAGAAGAAGAAAGAGAGGGAGCGAGAGGGAGGGAGATAGAGAGATAGAGAGACATGCACACAGGGCGAAAGACACATGCACCCTCGGGGAAGGAGCTGGGACCTGGGGCCAAAGCATGGGACAGACTCGCAGCGAGAGGTCTCGGGCACGGCGTCCGGCCCTCGATGGAGATCACCTCTGGAGGGATGCCGGCTTATGTCCGGCGGACTGGCGGAGGGGTGTCCTCGGCTGTGTCCGAGCCGGTCAGACGCGCGGCTGGGGGGTGAGGATGAGGGGGGGGTGGGGGGGGGAGATATGTACGTCCGGGGCATTGTGGGTCATGGAATGCCTCGCCCCACCCAACGCGGGGCCGGTCGGAGCGCGCCAGAGATTCCCACGGGCACCAGTGAGCAGGGTCGGCATCGCGTCCCTGGTACTCTCAAGGCCGCGGCCCTCTGAGCAGGGGGGGGGGGACCCGGGGGAAGGTGTTTTTAGGGAAGGCATTTTAAATTCTGCCAATGTTCCCTCACACCAGAGCAGTTGCCTATGCTGGGGCTGGCCGCTGCCTGCCCCCGGGGGGAGGGGGAGGGGGGATGCTGAAATGGGATGGCCGGAGGCCGGGGGGCACCCCGTGAGCGAGGCACCGCTTCACAACCGGCCCGGCCGGGATGACGCATGCGCACCAGCTGTTCATGCACCGGGGCTGGCCGCGCGGCTGCCGGGGTCTTGAGGGTGGGCTTCCGCCCGGAGGCCAGCAGGGGAAAACAGCGCAGCCAGATGCAATGCTCAGGGGTGCCTCGGCAGGGACGGATATCCGGCGACCCCTCAAGTAGACATCCATCGCTTGGTAGGCGGATGTATTGGGGGTGGGGTGGGGGGGGGGGGATTGCACCAGTGGAGGGGGATGTGAGAAGTGATGGGAGTTGGGTGGGTGAGGGCGGGGTGGGGGGGCGGAGGCTGGCCGGAACCTCGCGGTCGGTCCCACTCCTCAGCCCCTGGCGACGGCGGAGTGGGGGCGGGCGGGCGGGGGCGAGCCTCTACTTTCGGACCCTCGGAAACCGGATGTTCCCGGAGCGCGACCGCTCAACAGAGGCGGAGTACAAAACAAAAGCGGTCCGGAGGGACGGCTGGATAGCCAAGTAGGGCAGACCCAGGTTCCGGCTCAGGCTCGGGGGGTCATTCGACGAGAAGAGAGAGAGAGAGAGAGGGGGGGAGAGGACGGAGAGTGTGCGTGTGTGTGTCTGTGTGTGATGCAGAAACACAGGGGAAGGGAGAGAAAGAGAACTCGGCCTGGCTCGGCACCCATGGACCGTGGTTGCGTGATGCCCGGCGAGATGTGTCCTTGCTCCGGGTGAGGGGCTTGGCCGGGCGCACACCCGGCCCCGGAAACGATGGGGAGACCCGGGCAAAAAAGGGCGAGGCACACGCCGATGTTTCAGGAACCGGTGAGACGACCGGCCTCTGTCCTGGAGGGGAAAGATCGGGGGATGCGCGCGCCATTACGCATTGCCCCGGGGGCCGGGTGGGGAGGGCAGAGGGCGAGCGTGAGAAAGTGCCAGCCGCTGTCAGTGGGGCGCCGGGAAAAACGGCGGCCCCGGTGAGCGGGCGTCGAGGGCCGAGGGACGCGCGTTCGTGTAGCCGCCAGAGCGGGGCGCCCATCGCCTGCCCCCCCCCCCCCTATGTGAGAGAAACTCCGGGCCCCCGGCGCCGGAACCCTCGGGGCCCTGCATGCCGCCCTTGAGTGGCGACCATCGGGCGATGCACCAGGAGAAAGCGGGGGGGGGGGGGGGGGGGGGGGGCAATCCCGCAAACATGCTGTCAATTCCGCCCGCGCGCCGGTGGTAGAGATGCGCCGTGCAGGGCGGGAGAAAAAGGACCAGCGCCGAAGGGGGGGGGGGAGCCGCCGACGCTGTGGGGCCGCGCTCACAGCCGCCTGGAGGATCATCGCGGGCCCCTTTCGTCCAAACAGGGGCGTGGGGCCCCCCCTGAGCCATCTCAGGCCCGCGCAAGGCGGCCCTGTGCCAGCAAGCAGGAGGGCGCCGAGCGAACAGGCCATTGGCCGCGAGGGGGGGGGGGGGACGGGGCGCTAGCCGCCGGGAACGAGAGGCCCGGCGCAGGACAAGAGCGCGACGGAGTTGGTCGCCAGCCTGGCAGGAGGGTGGGCATCTGTGCTACACTCACGCTCCGGAACTCTGTGGCGGGCGGCGTCTCAACACACGCAAACGCCCTCCCCCCCGCAGGGGATGTGTGTCCACACACCGCATGAAACCCACTCCCCCGCCGGCTGCCCCCCCCCCCCCCCCCGCGGACGCCTCGCGGCCTGGGGCATACGCGCGCCGGGCCCCACCCACCGCCGGCCTCTGCCACATATGCACACACACACACACACACACACACACGCACGCACACACGCACACACAGCCATGCCTACATCCGTCCGCGCTCGTGCTCGCGCTCGCGCTCGCATGTGTAAGGGGGCGCGCGTGTGCGGGGGGCGGCGGCCGAACTGTCAAAATAGACGCCAGCTGTGCCTGAAACGCGCCTCGTGAGTGGGCATGTGATTGCTCTCCAGGTCCTCGGCAACGCCGCCGTAACTCGCTGGGCAGCATGTTAATTGGGCCTCCTCGGGCCCCTGTGGGCTTCGAGCCCCGATGTGGGGGAATTTTCGTCATGGCGCCGGCGCATGGGGGCGCGCGCGACCCGGGGCCACGCGTCCGGGCATATTTTTTTGCCCAGACCTTTCCCGGCCATGCCCCCCCCCCCCCCCCCCCCCCCCCCCCCCCCCCCCCCCCCCCCCCCCCCCCCCCCCCCCCCCCCCCCCCCCCCCCCCCCCCCCCCCC